AAGATTCATCCACATTGTAGCATGTATCAGTGCTTATTCCTTTTCATGGCTGAATACTATTCCATTGTATGGATATACCACATGGTCTATCCACGTATCTGCTGAGATTCTGGGGTTGTTTCCACCTTTTAGCTATTGTGAATAACACTGCATTGGTGTATAAAATATCTGTCTGAATACCTATTTCAATTCTTCTGGGTATACAACTAGCAATTAATTGCTAGGTAATTAATTGCAATGAGCAATTAATTAATTGTATGATTATTTTATGTTTAACTTTTTGAAGAACCACCAAACTTTCCCACAGTGTCTGCACCATTTTATATTTCGTCAGCAATGCATGACTGTTCCAATTTTATTTTCTTTTTAACAATCTTGAGCTCACCTAGACTTTAGCCTCCCTCACCCCATTCTTATAAGTTTGCCTAAGCCATTTTAAAAATTAATCCTTGGCCTTAAGCTAATGATTTTTAAAAAGTCAGAATGCAAGAGGGAATTTTCTCAAAGTCCACCATGACACACTATCTTACTGCATATGGATTTTTCTCTCACGTTCTCATCAATGGAGAGAATGAACTTTGCAGTCTGATGCCTGGATGTGAATTCTACTTCCTACTCTCTAGCTGCGAGCTCCAGTTTCCTCCTTTGTAAACTGGGATCATCAGTGTTTTAGTTTTCTGCAGTTGCAGAACAAACTGCCACAAAGTTAGTGACTTAAAACAACACAAATGTATTATCTTACAATTCTGGAGGTCAGAACTTGGAAATGGGACTCATGGAGCTAAAATCGAGGTGTTAGTAGCGGTGGTTCCCACGGGAGGCTGTAGGGAGAACTGGCTTTCTTGCCTTTTCCAGATTCTTAGCGGCTGCTTGCATTTCTTGGTTTATGGCTTCATCCTCCATCTTCAAAGCCAGCAAAGCCAGAGGAGTCTTTCTCCTATTGCATCTCTCTGACACACGATCCTGCCTCTTTCTTCCACTTTTAAGGGCTCTGTAATTATACTGGGGCCACATGAATAGTCCAGGATAAACCCCCATTTAAAGGTCAGCTCATTTGTGCCTTAGTTCCCCTCTGCCATGTAACCTAACACAGCCACAGGTCCCGGGGATGGGACGTGGACATCTCTGAGGGCCGTTACTCTGCCTGCCACAAGACAGTAATGACCTACTTAGATTGTTTCAAGGATTATTTGTATTTCTAAATTCTTTCCATTCCTCGAGATCTAGTCCTGAAGACAAACTCACTTGAAAGGCATCTCTACTCATTTATTTGACGAACACCTACTGAGTTCTGAGTTAATGAAACAAAGCATGTTTGTATTTTGGGTTTTGGTTTTTGTATTTGCTTTTGTTTTTGAGACAGGGTCTTGCTCTGTTGCCCAGGCTGGAGTGTAGTGGTCTGATCTTGGCTCCATCCCCCAGACTCAAGCGATCCTCCCACCTCAGCCTCCCTAATAGCTGGGACCACAGTTGCGCACCACCATGCCGGGGCTGCCCAGGCTGGTCTCAAACTTCTGAGTTCAAGCGATCTGCTTGACTCAGCCTCCCAAAGTGATGGGATTACAGGCGTGAGCCACCACACCTGGCCTGACACAATGCATGTTAAACACTTAGAGCCTGGCTGGCATCCAGCGAGCACTCAATCAAGGCATCTATTATCATCTTACCCTCGTAACTTTATCTTCTGGAAATATGCTCCAAGCCAGAAGAAATTACTTCTTAGTCTAAACTTTCTGCGACCGTGTTCCTAAAATCCAGGGTTCCTTTCCAGCTATGAAATCCAGCATGACCTCCCTCCGGGTCCTGAGGACTTGGCCTGCCTTCTGTGTTAAGGCAGAATTGGAGCTGAGAGCAGCATCCCTCATGGCTTCCCCCACCCGCGAGGAGACGAAACACCCAGCAGGGCCAGCCAAGAGCTCCGCACGCTCTGGTTCTAGCAGTGGCACTGACGTTCCCTCCACTCCATCTGGCTGGTCTGTGATCTGTCGGGCACTGTCCTTAGCCTCCACCTGGCCCAGCGATATGCAGCATGACCCCAAAGCACCCTCAGCCTGGCTTCTCCGCACTGTATCCGCACACCAAGCCCTCTAGAAGGTCCCAACGCAGCCTCACGGAATTCAGATGCCAGACAGATGAACAGTTTTTACAGAAGGCAAACTCCATCCTGCATTGAACCACATGCTTCTGCGGAAGGCGTTCACTTCCACTTTGCATGCCGGCTGGGATTTGTGGTCCAGCGTCACAGGGTGAAGCCATTCCTCATGGGTGAACATGGAGCCGTCTCAGGCCCCAAGGTTTATTTCTAAGCAGCTACTCAGATATTGATCACGAGGTATACTTAAGTTTTTTGTTTTTCCAATGCCACAAGTATTGTCTTTTATTATGTCTGGTTCTCAGTTTTAAAAGCATGTTTTCTCCTTTCTGTCTCAAAATATGCTTGAAACTCTTGGTTAGGTCAGACCTGAGTATCACAATAGAGGCTCCCTGCTCATTTCCTGAGCTACACTCTGGTCCTTGCTGAGACGAGAAGTCCAAATCCTCCTCAATACTGGGGCCTCTATCACTCAGCAGGTCTGGGGACGTGGGAGCCTCCATGCCAGGGTTTTCAGGGCCAGAACAGTGAATGAGCCGTGGATTTGGCCTGCAGACGGAGAGGCTGGGCTGTGCTGATCAGGGGTCCCAAAGAGACTCACGAACTGGGCACAGCCCGATGCACAGACGTGACTTAGACTGCACAGGCTGGGAGGGAGCCTGCAAGGGCCTTGGGGACTGTGCAGGTGCCACACACTCACCTCCCATTTCTGAGGTGGGGGGATCAGAGACCCCTAAGCCAGCACACGGGTCCCTCCCTCTGAGATCACAACCAGAACTTCTCCTACCTGTCATTTCAGGGACTGGGCTCACTCAATGCCCTGGCTGCCTCCAGCAGGAGATTCTGCTCCTGCCGCCCAGCTGCCGTGGGGCAGAACTTCTGCGTTCCTCTCTCGAAAGGCTGGGTCATGTCCTCTCATTCCTCAGCTCTTGACTACAATTTCCTTCTGTCACCTCAGAAATCGTATTTTCTTCCTGGCTTCCTCCCAGGCTCTCGCTTTCATCTGTCTAACGACAATCCCTCCTTGCTAATAAACCTCAAGTGGGAGGGCCAGCCCCTCCTGCCAGCCCTTTCATCGGCCCGTTGCACAAGAAAACCAGCTCTTACCTGGGCATGCGACTTGGCCATCGCCTCAGCCTACAGCCTGCGGTTCCCACACAGGCCCTAGAGCTCTCTTTCCTGCCCTAAATTCCAATTCTCAGATGCTCAGATAAGCTAAGAATCCCCTTGCCTCCCCCTGAAAACTCCCCAGCAGAACTGCCAGCAATTGCGGGCTTTGCTGTTTATGTTCTCCTAGGTCAAGAGTGTGCTGGGGAAGGTGGTTCCGTAATGCTCTTTGGAAATATCATTAATCTAAGTCTTTTATTAACTGTATCCTCTCACTACCTAACCATGCTGGGGTAATTATCTGACTTTGTGCCCTGCCAGCTAGCATCAGAGGTGGGAACACTATTCGCTTGACCCATTCCTTTGGCTTTGTCATTGATTTCACGGAGAAATTAAAGGCTTTCTACATTTATGTTATGGTTAAAGAGATCATGAACAAAACATAAATGTAAATCAATGATAGATAATTACACTAAGATGGCATGAGTACGCTCTGTATTCTTTAAGTAAAAGCCTCACAAGAAAACAACAGCAGTGGTTAAATAAAGCACAATAATTCTTAAGTGTCAGCGAAAATAAGGGTGAGAGAGAGAGAAAGAGTATTCAATTTAACAAATAACTTGGTCAATTTACTAAAAGCATTGTACTTAAAATATGAACATATACTGACGATGTAAAAATCATTTGGAAATCTCAACTTTGCTCTTCTGAAACCATTGCAAATGTTATAAAATCATGTTCCCTGTCCTTACAAGGCTTTAAAACTAGGCATAAACTTCAAGATAACAAGCCTGTAAAAACTGTAATTGTTGTGTGTTATTACACAGGCTGTACAGGGTATTTTATACCACCAACTTACAGTCATGCTGGGCCTTAATGAGTCTAACTAAAAGACTTTTTAGCAATTTTCATTTTGTATGGATTAGAGAGTACTAGTGAGGCCCATATGGTCTTCTATAAATTAGGAGATCAAACAAGAGTCTTCTGCAGCAGGACCTCAGCTCTGGATGGCGTCTCTAACTCACCCATTCACATCAGTGGGGAGCAACCGCCCCCAAGGGTTACAGAGTATCGGGGACCCCAGAGGTCTTAGACTCTGTCCCATGCACCATTGGAGCTGAGATGAAAGGACTTAGCCATTCAGTCGTGAGCATGCTGGCAACAATGATTCTATCTGTTGTCTGGAAGGTTTTAATATCACAGTCATATAAATTTCAACCAGTTTTATGTAATGGTGTTTCCCAAATGAGCAACTGAAGAGCCAGGGAAACACATACTCCAGATGTTGGCTGACCCAGGAATCGGGATCAGCACTGAGGAAGAATCTGCCAGCAAAGTCCTGATTCTACTCTCCTAAAGGGAGTCAAAGCCAGGACCCAAACTAAGTTCAGGTGCAGATCTGGGAGGGCATTTATTGACCAGAGCACACAGTGGTGGTGAAAAACGAAAACAAAACCAACAAAGCAGAAAAAAAAAAAAACAAATAAAACCTCCCCAAAACTCAACTGTTTTTCTGTTCAAAGGTTTCTATAAAAATCCTTGGTGTGCTCTCAGACACTCAGTTTGTTTCTGGTCTAAACATCTCACTCTGCCTTAGGAGTCTTCGTCATTCTCTACAGATTCCTTTCGGTGATTCTGGCACGAGCGGGGTGGAAATTGTCGGGGAAGGTTCCATGAGATCCTATTCATCTTACAAGTGTGGGCTTGGGTTTGCTGAGTTTTGGACACTAAAACTGTCCCCTCGTCCCATCCCTGTCCCCATCCACTGGTGCTGGCAGCCGTTTTTGTGTGAATGTAGTACCTGCCATTCCTGGTATCGTGTTGCCGCATGTTCTTGATAAAATGAATCTTCTTAAAATTCTTTGGTCTGGGTGAACCTGAGAGAGTTCGACATCTGAAAAATAAAGTGAATTCGAAAACACAGTCAGTTGCCTGCTGGACAGCTGAGACATCTCCACATAAAGACAGGAAGGAAGGACCAGACAAATGGTTTGAGTCACCCCAAAGGAGGCAGGAGTCTGCGGGGATAATGAAGACAACACGGCTGGAAGCAAGGAAGCTTAAAACAGGCCCTATGATAGACAACGTCTTGATAATACTGACATTATTTTATATGGGTCTCTAAAAAGTCAACTAATCAAGAATATTGTCCCCTGCATTAAAAAAAAAAACAAAAAACAAAAAACCTATGCAGATTCCAAAGACATTATTCTTTATTGTCATCTTAAAAAGTATCCTCCCGTATCAACAAAGGGAAAGGGAATCAAAAACTGTACATTTAAAGGGGGTAGGGAAACACCGGAAAATTCAGTTCAAAAACAAGCCTGAATCATTTTTCTTCTGTAACAAGATTTTGGCCTGAATTACCTGGACAGCTGCCTTAAGTTTCAGCTTGACCCGCTATGCCTGGGAGGTCACAGCTTTACACTGAATGAGAAATCAGAGACCCAGCTAGTTGCTGTTTTTGTTTTGTTTTGTTTTTAAGATAAATTTTAAATAAACATGTGTTGAACTAAAATGGCTTGGATTCAAGTTTTTTTAGTTTTGTTTTGCTGGAGTATACAACATTTGCCTGTACTATAGGACTGGCAAAACAAACCATAGGCCAAGGAGACCTTACTTCTGTGTAGCGTTTTCACCTGGCAAATTTTAAGTTACAAAACCACAATCACAATGACAGAGAAGCAAAATGCTCAACAAACAAGAGTCTCAAGTTTATTCTAGATAAAAGGGGCCGTGACTTTTTGATTTTGGGTTTTGCTAACGAAAACCTTTCTGACCTGGGCCACAGGAGCCAGCTTCTGCCATGGGACATGGTGCCTGTGACCTGATTCTTGACTCTAAAGAAAGATTCTGGGCTGGCTGTGGTGGCTCACGCCTATAATCGCAGCACTTTGGGAGGCCGAGGAGGGCAGATCAACTGAGGTCTGGAGTTCCAGACCAGCCTGGCCAACATGGTGAAACCCCGTTTCTACTGAAAATACAAAAATCAGCCTGGTGTGGTGGCAGGTGCCTGTAATCCCAGCTACTCGGGAAGCTGTCGGCAGAAGAATCGCTTGAACCCGGGAGACCGAGGTTGCAGTGAGCCAAGATCATGCCACTGCACTCCAGCCTGGGTGACAGAGTAGGACTCTGTCTGGAAAAAAAAAAGAAAGATTCTTTTAAAGGCTTGCAGAGCCCCGTTTGAGGACATTCAGTATATGCTTCCTGTGGCTTTCAGGAGGGGTTAGAGTGGGGATGGGATTGACACTTCTCCCCCAAATCCAGGCCTCAAACTCGGATTTTCATTTTTTTTTTTTTTTTTTTTAAATAAAGACAAGGCCTTGCTCTGCCGCACCTTGCAGTGGTGCGCTCACTGCAGCCTCAAAATCCTCCCACCTCAGCCTCCCAAAGTGCTGGGATTATAGGTGTGAGCCACTGTGCCTGGTCCACTAAACCCAGATTTAATTGGCTCAAGGTTCAAGGAGATAGGGCCTCGCTCTGCCTTTTGCTCTCTGGGAACAGATCCAGAACCCCAAATGGCCTCATTTCTTCCTCCAGAATGACTGCTTGAATTTGCAGGCCACTCAAAGTTCCCACCTGTCACACACACACAAAGAAGGTTCTTGAAACATCAAGTCACTGGAAAGAGGAGAATCCCTGAAAGCATAAAGTGGTTTCTGGATAGGGCCCAGTGTTCAGAAGCATCCTTATACCCCTTCCGCGGCTTCCTTTCCCAGGAGGAGAGCTTCCTGGGCCAGCCAATCTGAGGGCAGCAGGCCAAGAGCTAGACAGTGCGCGGGTTCAGGCAGCTCGCAGATCCTGCCACCTCAGCAAACTCTGCTCCTTCCTCCCACCTCCCAGCTGCAGGAAGCTGGGATTGACGCCAGCACAGAGGAAGGACGGCCTGAGCTGCTCCCTGCAGAAAGAAGGGCCCCAGATTCCTCAGCCTTCTTCTGGAAGTGGAAAGCCACAAAAGGGCCACAGGTGGCTGTCTGCACCAGCAAAGGAAGGAGGTGAGGCCGTGATCACTTTAACAGCTGCGGCCACCAGCATCCATCCACCCAGACGGTTTGGAAAAGGGCAGGTGCTGATGGCGAAACAAATAGAGCTTTTTCCTGACAACTAGCAGAAATAGCTTAACTCCTTATTTTTGGACACCAGGTAACCACCAGGCAGATGCAAAACTCCTCAGTCCAAGTCCTCTCATGATGCATGCTCAGTTCTTGGAGTTCCAGGTAGATACAGGAAATCCACTAACAAACCATGATGTGCTAGAGAAAAGTAGGACTTTTAACAGGGTAACTTAACAAAGATCTTTTATTTCCCTATCAGCACCCAATTCTAACTGCACACACCCCACACTAATCTAGCCCTTCATTAAGCAAGCTGTTTGTTGTCTTGCTTTTCTTTTTCTTTTAAGCATTCAACCAAATCACCAGGGAATCTAAGAAATGCTTTAAGAGAATTGTGGCGTTGGCAACAATTGCCAAGGAACTGGAATACTGGGCGCTCAGGTTGCGGCAGGTTAAGCAAAGAACGAATTAATTTCAAAGCTGCCTGCAACAATGTGTAAACATCCATTTAAAAACATACATTTTAAGTGATGCAAAATTAAATTAGCATAAAATTAAATTAAAAACTAATTTAAAGAAAGATTAGCTCTTTCTTGTTAGCACTGATTACAGGATATACTTAATTATGCAAAAGGTCTAATAGATGCCTTGGAGCCATTTGTTCTTCTGCTAAGCTTAAAAGCACATTGGGCTAACAGCCTTCCACCCCCACAGTTCCCAAAATACTTCGGCATCATTATTGGTGTCACCATTTCACAGACCGGGAAAGGCTTCAGCAATCAGCCAATTGGTCTTCCCATTTTATAGATGGGAAAAATGAGGCCCCAGAGACACTAAGTCAATTTCCAATGCTACATACCCAGTTAGAGTCAGGCTAAGAACTCAGGTTTCCAGGCTCCCAAACTAATGTCTCTTCTTCTATACCATGCTAATATAACTGCTAGGAATAAGTGAATTTCTAAGTAAAAATGAGAACAGTTATGCTTTTTAAGTTCTCTTTTTTTAAGTTTTCTTTTTTAAGAAACTCCAGGCTAGAGTGCAATGTCGAGCATAGCTCACTTAAGTCTCGAACTCCTGGGCTCAAGCGATCCTCTTGCCTCAGACTCTTGAGTAGCTGGAGCTACAGATGCATATCCATGTACCTGGTTATTTTTTCTTTTTTTTTTTTTTTGGTTGAGATGGGGTCTCACTACATTGCCCAGGATGATCTCAAACTCCTAACCTCAAGCAACCCCTCTGCCTCAACCTCTCAAAGTGCTGGGGTTACAGGTGTGAGCTACCATGCCCAGCCAATATGAGAACTTTATTTATTTATTTATTTATTTATTTATTTATTTTATTATTATTTTTTTTTTTTGAGACGGAGTCTCGCTCTATCTCGCAGGCTGGAGTGCAGTGGCCAGATCTCAGCTCACTGCAAGCTCCGCCTCCTGGGTTTACGCCATTCTCCTGCCTCAGCCTCCCGAGTAGCTGGGACTACAGGCGCCCGCCACCTCACCAGGCTAGTTTTTTTTGTATTTTTCAGTAGAGACGGGGTTTCACCGTGTTAGCCAGGATGGTCTCGATCTCCTGACCTCATGATCCACCCGTCTCGGCCTCCCAAAGTGCTGGGATTACAGGCTTGAGCCACCGTGCCCGGCCAACTTTATTTATTTATGTATTTATGTGTTGACTGATTGATTATAGACATGGGGGTCTCACTACATTGCCCAGGCTGGTCTTGAACTCCTGAACTAAGCGATCTTCTTGCCTCCACCTCCCCAAGTGCTAGGACTATAGGTGGGAGCCACCGCATCCGGCTGAGAACTTTTTTAAACTAAAAAAAAAAAAATGTCCCTTAGTGGAATAAAAACTTGATTTCTAAAACTCTTTTGATTTCTGACATTCTTAAAATTTTATAATAAGATTTGAGGTTCAGTGCAGTATTCTGTGAGAGCTGATGGAAGTCACAGTTGAGGCCGACAAGCATTTCTGCTGCACTCATTTGTGCTACCACAAGGCTGAGGGCCAGTCTGGGTGGATTTCGTGAAGGCGGGTGACAGGGCACCAACCAGGAACACAGAACCCAGGTCCTCCTCCGGCCGCTCCGCGACACCTCGAGACTCAAGGACACTGCATCCTGAGGCTGGAGAGCCCTGCCCGGGAATTCCTGAAGAGGGAACAGCCCTTTGAGCCTGTACCCTGAGTCGCCTGGCTTCCTTCGGCTCACAGCGACCATGCTGTTCCAAGGACCATGGCTTCTAGCAACCTCTCGAAACTCCAGGGACTTCTCAACGTTATTCATGGATTTTCCTGTTTGTGGCAGGAGTGAGGAAGAACCTCGGTCGGATTGTGAGGTCACTCACTCTAACACCAAAGCCACTCAGTGTGCCTGCGAACACCTCTCCTCCGTGCTCGCTGAGTATGTGGACCGAGGCCAGCTCCCTCATTTGACTGTCAGTGTAGCTTTCTGTATGACTCCTGCAGGGAAATGGCTTTCTCCCACTTCACTGCTCCTCACAGAGTTAACACTTGTGCCCAGGCCACGTCTGCCACACAGCCACATACCACGAGAGGCTCCTGGAGGTTACCCATGCTTTGAAAAAGACTCTGAAAGTGAAGATCGGACTGTTCAGCCCTATCTCTTTGGGATGATGTCAGTGACAAAATTCACAGTCGCTGGACACTTCCCCTGTGACCCCAAGCTGTCTGTGCTCAGTCTGCCCTCTGCTCTTCATGCAGGCGGAGCCCGTGGACATGAGCTCTACCCTGGGAGCGAAGCTTCAGGTGGGGAAGGAGCCAGATCCAGGGGGAGGCTGTCCCCAACAGCAGCACCCTGCCAGGCTCAGAAGGAGGAGCCAGGCGCTCCCAAGTCCTGGCCTGGCCAAGGCATGCAGGGTGCAGATGCCGGTTCAAAGAGGAGCTGATGCAAGTCCACAGGAGCTCATGTCCTCCCGATGCCCTCCCTGCTGCCGTCTGCCTTGTGGTCCCCGGGAAGCCCCTGCGCCCCATCTTCCTGGCTCACTCCCACATGCTGCCCCACCCAGCTCAGGGCTGAGTGAGGATGGAAGGGGGTGCAGGACCTGAGTGCACTCTCCTCCATGAGGGCCTGGCTGGGATAGAGGAGAGGAACCTGCCAGTCACCGGCACAGCACGGCACAGCTCAGCAATGGCTGTCACCCAAAAAGATGCCTTGCGAGCACTTTTCTAATCCCGAGGGAGAAACAGAACGCTTTCAGACCCCAGAGAGCACTCACAACTATCCTAATCGGGCTTCCTAGCAACCGGCCAGGGAGCGACATCATGGTCACCTCCTGAGGAGTTCTCAGTGTCCCTCCTGCTGAGAATGAAGTCCGGGACTGTACCACTGTGTGACTGCACCTGGGGGACGGGCCGGGACAAATGCGGGGCTCTTGCTCCATTAAGCAGCAGTTTACAAAATGAAGAGAAGCCACGGAAAGAGAAGCACCCAAATTCCACGCAAACTGGGCTATTCCGACACGTAATTGGATTTAACGTTGTCTAGTTCTAATGGTCCTCAGAGGTGGGTTGGACGCTAGGAGATGTCCCATAGTCCGTGGGATTCAGATGGTTATTTTTAAATTTAATTCTACAGATCAAGAACTTAAAAAAACAAAATCGATCTCTGGCTGTCATGGTGTGCTGTTTACACACACACAAATGAAACAGAAAATTACCTCCGGAGTGGGGCGTTCTCCTCAATATCTTCCAGGGTCTCCAAGGAGGATCTCTGGGAGATGAGGCGCCGTCTGCAGAAAGAAGGAGCAAATCTGGGAGTTAAAACGGCATTGCAGAACTCATCAGACATTTCTGTAACTCTAAAACTGCCCTAAAACAAAAACATGAAGTCCATTAAGAAAACATCAGACAAAAGCTGCCTCGAAGAGGCTGCCACGCTCCCGCCCTGCGCGCCAGGCCCACCTTGCTGGCTGAACCCTGAGCACTCTCCTGGTTAGAGGGCCGCTTTGTGATGATTAAGGAAGTGACTGATCCTTTTGATGCTGCCATTTTCCCCAAGGACACACACACACACACACACACAAAGACAAGGTGCCTCTTATAATATATAGAATAACTTGATGGTGTGTGCAGCTTTTCTAAGGCATTAGCTAATACGGTGAAGTATTCCACTATCAGGGATTTGGATCCGGTAACTGATAAATATTAAATCTAAAACCCTATGAAAAACAACTTCAAAATCATTAGGATGCAATAAAAAGATTACACTCCCTGGATGGTCATGATTTCAAAAGCAACTAGAAACAAGAAAGAAATTATTCCTTTGGGAGGAGTATCTCACAGACTGGGTAGAAAGAATAAATATGTGGCATGATTATGCAAAACATTAACTCTTCTGGGCTGCTAAGGAATTGCAACCCGCCTGCTAAAACCTCCCCAGTCTACCAGTTTCTGTCGCCAGGCTGAAATAAGAACAAGTCCTAGTCAACTAAGAAGATCAGGTACGGGGAGCAGGGTAGGGTGGGGTGACTTTAAATAAATCCACCTGAACGAAGACTGTCATTTGATAGTGAACGATTTGGTGGAGCAGGATGGACAGAAGATGTTTGACGGGGTTGTTCCTGAAAACAGAACTAAAAATATGAAGATAAGTCCATTTTTTATTACATTTGGGAAAACACAGCCTAGGAACATGCAGTCATAACCATGTTCTAATTTGCCCTAATGAACAAAGAATGAAACGACTTTGTGGGGTTTTGTTGTTTTGTTGTTTTTAATTTTGTGTGTACTTTTTCTGACCAACTACTCTGATACCTTTGGCTTGTCTGGCTTTTATAAGACAATCCGAAAGGTCATTTTTGTAGCAAACTATTCAACAGCTTCGTCAATTTTCCACCTTCCTTAATTTTTTGATACTCAAATCCTTTAAAAAAAAAAGAAAAATACTTGTGGCCGGGCACGGTGGCTCAAGCCTGTAATCCCAGCACGTTGGGAGGCCGAGGCAGGCTGATCACCTGAGGTCAGGAATTCAGGACCATCCTGGCCAACATGGTGAAACCCCATCTTTACTAAAAATACAAAAATTAGCCGGGCGTGGTGGCGGGCGCCTGTAGTCCCAGCTACTTGGGAGGCTGAGGCAGGAGAATGGCGGGAACCCGGGAGACGGAGGTTGCAGTGAGCCGAGATCGCACCACTGGACTCCAGCCTGGCGACAGAGCAAGACTTCGTCTCAAACAAACAAACAAAGAAACAAAACTCGTCATACAGCCTCCTTGTCTCTTCTCCAACTGTAAAACAGTAGAACATAGAACACTCTCAGCTTCGCACTCATCAATGTGTGTGAACCAAGCACACCCATCGCCCTCTGTGTTCATGACATACCGGACTTTCTACAGAAACTGTGGTTTCACTCTGCAATTAACTAACACTGAATTTCCATTTCCATAATATTGCCAGATTTCCAAGAGTCAGCCAGAGCTGTGGAGGAGGCACTGGTCTTACCTGAGAGCAGTGCAGAGGCAAGCTGAGGAGGTGGGGAACTGATTTTACAGGTAGCTAATTCATGAGTGACAGGACTTCCCCGCGGAGCACTGTAACTCAGGGGACAGAGCTCGCCTAGGCCCCTATGACGGCACCTGCAGCTGGAGCTCTGAAGTGTCTGTGCTATGGGTTGAGGCACAGACCTCTGAAATCCCAGTTAATCCTAAGAAAGCAGGCAGGTGAGCAGCGGGCCTAGCCTCTCTCCAGGTGCTAAGTCCCAGGCTGGACTGGGGCAGACGCACACCTGCCCATTGCAGATCTCAGCGCCAGAAACCCCATGTTACCCATCCAAAGTGGGGTGTAATTCTACATAGAACACCTAAGGACTAGAGTCAGACACTCGAATTGCAATCCTGGGGTCCAAAGGCTTCGGGGTCTAAGAAAGCTCCTTAATCCGGCCGGGCATGGTGGCTCATGCCTGTAATCCCAGCACTCTGGGAGGCCGAGGCGGGTGGATCACCTGAGGTCAGGAGTTTGAGACCAGCCTGGCCTACATGGTGACCCATCTCTACTGAAAATACAAAATTAGTCAGGTGTGGCGGTGCATGCTTATAATCCCAGCTACTTGAGAGGCTGAGGCAGGAGAATCGCTTGAACCTGGGAGGCGGAGGTTGCAGTGAGCCGAGATCGAGTCACTGCACTCCAGCCTGGATAACAAGAGTGAAACTCCGTCTCAGAAAAAAAAAAGAAAAGAAAAGAAAGAAAGTTCCTTAATCCTTGAGCCTCAGTTTGTTCATCTATGAAATGGGAAACAGCAATTAACTAAGAAAGGGACACATGTAAAGTCCCAGGCCCACGGCAGTTCTTGATGAACAGGAGCTACTGGGCTTTTGATTGACACTCCAGTTTCCTTCACTGAGGCTGCACCCTGACCTGCACCCCAGCTCAGCTGACCAGGAGCAGGCTGAGTGTCCTAGCTTTGGCCCCCACTCAAGGCCCAGCCAGTGGCAAGGTCACCCCAAAATGCCTTGTGCCTGAGCCCACCCGAGATGCGTACGTGTTCCTTCCACACCTACACCCACTTCAAAGCACAACTAACTCTGCGCATGTACTCAATGGGGTGCACCGAGAAGCACAAGTCACACTCACTGATGTGTTGGCCACCTATAAAATTAGTGTCCCCCAGGTCTCCTTGCACTGCTCTCAGGTCTCCCTACAGACAGGAGGCAGCGATTAAAAGATTTACTCTGTTTATCTCTGCATGATGTTCTGAGCCTTTAAATCCAAAGTAAAACACTCACTGAAGTATTTACTAAATTAAGTATGCACATCTAAATTGTCATTAGCGATAACTTCCACAGGCAGAAATCAATGTATAGGCTTCGGATCCTGAGAATCTCAACACATTCTGTCACACTTTGAGCCTTCCTTTGTAGAAGAGCATTTTCAGGTAACCAGTAAATAGGCAATTGATGTTTTGTTCAATCTGCACCCACGCAACTGAGATGATCGTGCAGGGGAAGGGCTGAAGGCTGCCCTCCTTCAGGTACCCTAAGGAGCCCCGGGGAGGCCCTGGGTGGGCTCTTTGGGCAGCACAGATGCCGCCCAGGCTCTGGCAGAGCCCAGAGCCCAGCCAGGCAGGTTCCCCTCTCCACGCATCCACCCCCACTCACTCAACAATGTGACCGTGAGCCCTCTCGGGAACACACAGCTGAACCAGGCTTGCCTCCTGTCCTCAGGGGCTCAGAGTCATGTGAGGATCAATGGGACGGCCACCAAGAAGCCCCATTAACAATCCCTGAAGCCCCTGCGTCCTTCAGGGCTGTGGTGTGGAGAACACTCCGGCTGAGTCCCACAGTGCGCACAGAAGGCCCTGACGGGAAGCACAGACTCCTCCAACATCCAGACCAGAGTGTTTCACCCTAGAAAATCAGGCCCATCCACAAAAGCACACGACCCAGTAACTCCCCTTTCACAAAGCCGTAGCCACCTCTTCCTGCACCAGAAACAAGAAGGGCTCATTTGGAAAAGAACCAGATGAGAATACACCTTTCTTTACAGTTATAAGGGTTTTTCTAAAAGCCAGCACATTTGGTAATTCCCCTCAGGTACTGAACAGGTGTGAATTCACACACACACATTATTACAGCTTAAACGTCTGTGTCCCCTCAAAATTCACGTGTTGAAATCATAACCCCCACTGCGATGGTATGAGGCAGTGGGGCCTGTGGGAAGTGATCTGTCATAAGGGTGGAGCCCTCATGAATGGGATTACTGCCCTTGTAAAGGGGACCCCGGAGACCTCTCTAGCTACTTTTCTGCCATGTGAGGACACTAGAAGTTGCTCATCTGTAACTGGAAAAGCCCTCATCTGACCCCAACCATGCTAGCACCCAGATCGTGACCTTCTAGCCTTCAGACCTGTGAGAAAATACATGTCTTTACTTTTTATTTATTTATTTTTTTCTGAGACAGAGTGTCGCTCTGTCACCAGGATGGAATGCAATGGCGCAATCTTGGCTCACTGCAACCTTGGCCTCCCAGGCTCAAGCAATTCTTGTGCCTCAGCCCCTCGAGTAGCTGGGACTACAGGTGTGCGCCACCAAACCCAGCTAATTTTTGTATTTTTCGCAGAGATGGGGTTTCGCCACATTGGCCAGGCTGGTCTCAAGAGATCCACCTGCCTTGGCCTTCCAAAGTTATGGGATTAAAGGCATGAGCCACCATGCCCGGCCGAGAAAATACATTTCTATTGTTTATAAGCCATCCAGTCTTTGGTACTTTATTACAGCAGTCTGAACTCAGACGGACCTACACACACGTGCGCGCATGCGTAGGCATGCAAGGGCACGCATGGGCACTTCTGATCAGGACTCCTTAAAGGGGAAAAAATCCACAGCCCAAATGCCCACCTGTTCCTTTAACTTCAGCAGGTGTACTTCCCTTCTTTGTGAATGGAACCAACCAGTATATTCTTGAAACTACCAGAGAACTTGGAACTACCACCAGTCACTGTAAAGAAACCATCCTACAATACCACCAAACAGCAAAGGATGCCTGCCCTTCCAGCCTAGGATGAGGACCTGTTCCCCTGTGAACCGGTGGTGTCATTCAGCAGCGCCCATCTCTGCCCCCACCCCTACAGCTTGCTGGATCCTCCCAAGGTATGTCGGTAGTGTCTTCTCCCTCACCTTCTAACCCCAGAAAGCCTGCAATAAACAAAAAGCCTCAGGGCAGGCGGCCAATCTTAAACAGCCACTTTTCACTCTGTAATTTCCCTCATAAATTAAGTCCATTACTATGCAAACTT